GAGACACTTGTCTGCAGGGCTTCAGAGAGAAAAACTTCCCGGAGCTTTCCCCTCCTGCCGGCTGTTGGCTCCTGGCAGTGAGAGACACCTGGGGACAAGGCCTGCTTTACTCATCGCCAAGACACTGAACACGTTTTGTCATGGAATTCTGTAAGGCCCACAGGCCCCTGTGGTTCTGTGGCACAGCATCCCACCAGTCCTAAGGAAGAGATTCAAATAAAGAAAACTACGTGCCCTAACGTCAGGCACAACAGCCAAGTTCAGGTCAGTGTTAGCAGCAGCAGAATGAGCTGCTCAGTTTTCTGTGCATTTCAGGTGGATGTGGCCATTAGTTGAGCCAAACTATCCTCAAGTTCTAGGTTTGTTGAGAGAAACAGAAACCCAAAGTTACCATAACACCAGGCTCTTAACCATTTGGTAAGGATGAAAGACTGGGGTATTTTCTGCCTCATACCACCGGTGACCTTACGGGGTGTTAGTCCTGCCCTGCAAATTCCAGTGCAAAAACTAGTGATACAGGAAGGAGAGATGAAAGTGTATTTACTAGCTGAGGTTAAAATAGTTTGGGGACAGTGAATGTGTTCTGTTTGCCCAGTCACCTTGAACGCACTGCTGTTCACCAGGCTCTGAAAGCAGCCTGAAATCTGGCTGAAGCACACAAGATTAACGTTATCGGTCTCTCTGGCCAGTTCACTGGTTGGTTCAAATGTTCCCTACTTTGACAATATCACTGTCATTTAACTTCAGACAATCTACAAAATTGCTCATTCTAATCTGCTTTGCTAAGTCTTATCATAGAATCATAGAATGGCCTGAGCTGGAAGGGACCTTAGAGATCATTTTAATCCAGCCTCCCTGCCGCCAGGGACGCCACCTCTCGACTAGATCAGGCAACACATGGAGATCCTTGTGTGAACTTTTAAATTACAAATGGGGGTATGTAAGACATCTTCAGGAATAAAAATGTAAATATTCTTGTTTACTAAGATTCTGAAAAAAAAGCTTGTTTAGTAGAGGTTGGTCTGCTTTTATATATTATGACTATTATGGCACAGGTTTTGAAAATAAGTTTTAAATAAAGTCATAAATACAACAGATAATGAAAGACAAATGCAGTTGAGAATTATGAGAGCATTGTCAAAACAAGACAGTAATTTCAGGTGTCAAGACTTTAGTGAAGCATTTATTCTTAATCTAACCACCCTTACTTATCAATTTTTGCAACGCCTCTCTCCACTCTAATTTGCTTCACAGATTTATGAGTTATATACAGACCTCAGGAATGCAGAAGTTACTATAACCACGTAAACTATTCCCCACCACTGTTTCCTAAATAATATTCTGCACTTTCTGTAAGCGTTGAGTAGGTAACAAATTTCCTAAAATGGTTCTGTATTTAGCAGCAGAGGGTCTGCCATTTCAATGCTATTGCTACAGAAATCACTGAACTTGCAGTACATCCAAACCAGAAGCTGACACAGTACAGGAAGAGCTCATCTTTTCAAAGAAAGCTGTTAATATACCCCAAAGTTCAGGTGTAAGTGGCAAAGAGTTAAAATCAAATATGTACTAAACCAAGGAAGTACTGCCAAAAAAATCAAATAATTTCAATAAAGAGGGGGAAAACCACAAAAAAGAACCAACAAGGCAAAAGCAAAGCCCCAAGGTAAAATAGCTTAGGTGTCCAGAGATTTATTTTGATGTACTTACAGAAATTTATTTTTCCCAGATGTGGAAAAACAATATTCTTGCCGAGATGATAATTCTGTTTAATTTCTTTAAATTGTGGTTCTTGCTTATCTTTTTGGTCAGTTCAAGTCACTTGTCTGTAATAAGACAGCATATCATCTAAACTTTGGTAAAGTGGCTCCTGATTCTGAGTGTCACTGCTGTCGGTCTGAGCTGACGGGGCCACATCTTGAGGGCTGCAGCCACAGGCCTGTGTTCCTGGTGGCGCATCTTCGGTGCTGCAGCTGCAGGTCTGTGTTCCTGGCAGAAGATCTTGGGTGTTGTAGCCACAGGCCTGTGTTCCTGGTGGAAGATCTTGGGTGCTGTAGCTGCAGGCCTGTATGCCGGGTGGCACATCTTGGGCACTGCAGCCACAGGCGTGTGTTCCCGGTGGAAGCTTTTGGGCGCTGCAGCAACAGGCCTGTGTACACTGTGGAAGATCTTGGGTGCTGCAGCCACAGGGCTGTGTTCCTGGCGGCACATCTTGGGTGCCGTAGCTGTAAGCCTGCATTGGAAAGGGCACATCGTGTGTGCCGTAGCCATAGGCGTGCACGGGTGGCAGCACGCCTTGGGCACCGTAGCCATAAGCCTGCACTGGAAATGCCATATCGTGAGGGCTGTAGCCATAAGCCTGCACTGATGACAGCACATCTCGAGCACCGTAGCCGTAAGCCTGCATCGGCGGCGGCACAGCTCGAGCACTGTAGCCGTAAGCCTGTGCTGCTGGCAGCGTATCTTCATCATCGCTGCTGTCATCCTCTGCTGACGATGACGCATCTTGATTGTCACTGCCACGGACCTCTGCTGATGCTGGCTCACGTTGAACATTGCTACTGCAAGCTTGCGCTGATGGTGAAACATCTTCAGTGTTGCTGCCCTTGGCCTGCACTGATGGCATCTGTTGGTTTTGTGCTGCCTCCGTTTCCAATTTTTTAGAGGAAGTTTCAGGACTGTTTGACTTCTGACTCCTGTAGTTATCATCTTTCTTTTGTCCCATAAAGTAATCGGAGGGTGGTGCAAATTCTGGATCGCGCTCATCTCTGAGCTCTTCCTGTTTCTTTGCCCATTGTCCGAACATCAATTCTGTTAGAAACAGGAAAAATGGTAGGTTGAATATGGATTTCAGGGTCTGAAGATCAGTCAGAAAGGAGGGAAAACAAATTAGCAAACAGAAAAGACACAGCCGTGAAGCCATTTGAAGTTACTTTTCAATCTAGTACCAGATTGCTGGCTAAGCTGACAGTCCAATTTCTTTACAGAGCAGTAACAAAAGCATTGAGCATTAAAGATAACCACCACCATCTATATAACTCGTCCTAGTGACTTTAAGATCCTTTAAAAATGTGGTCATTGGTTATGTAAAATGACTAATTAGTTAGGGATGTATCAAAATACAAACCAATCAAAGCATTAAGAGTTTAGTTATTGGAAGATGGAGATGATAAGATTATCACTAGTGGGCACAGGCAAAACCCAGCAACTTTTATCAACAGAAGTGGTTGATATTCTGGTAACTATGACAGCTGCTGATTTCTGAGTAAAAATAGTTTTGAAGTACTGCAGTGGAGTGACAGCTCAAGATCACCACGCTTCAGATATCTCTAAAACCAACTCTCAAGATGTGTCTCAAATCTCCTCTAAAATCAGAAAAATTCTTTTCAGTATTCATTTCCATCAAGACTTCTGTAAGAAATAAAGTAGAAAATTTTGATAGAGAAGGCCTACACATTTGTGTGATATAGAAAAACAGAGCTCCAAACAGAGCAGGACTTATTCCTTTGCTTTAGTAAAATATAAAAAAAATTGAAACAGTAAGGAAGGAAAGCATCTAAGAGAAGGAGTTTTGCTTATCCTTTCTGATGCTAATTTAGATGCTTGTTTTACATTTATGTTCAGCAAACCACCATTATTTTACTTCATATTTTAGAGTAAGTTGTCCTCTGCTTTCTGCTTGCTGTCACTTAAAAGGCAGGCATCCGACTACAAGAATGTGCATGAGCTTAGATTAATGGTGCAAAATGAGTTAATGGGTTTGGGCAGGATCTGGAAGGCAGAATCACGACACTTGATGTTGTGATAAGGAAGATGCCTTGAGAGGGGACCTTGGCACTGAAGTGGTCTCTGCTTCTATCACCTTTTCGTATCGTCCTGTACCTGTTTCAGTGTAACATCTTGCCATCACATAGCACAAACTAAAGAAATACATCAAGAAAAGATCACGCTAAAAGGCAGTAAATCTAAAGAACTATGAAATTTGTTATTCTGTCAACCTCTCTGGATCGTCCAGAAATGGAACATCTCATATAAAAGAAAAAAATTATGGGGCCATTACAGCAGCTACTGGCGCTAGAGCACGCCTCGTCAGTCACTGCACTGAACACCAGACAGCTGTCGATACAAAGGGAGAAAGTATTTCATTCCTTCTCTGTCTTACCATACGATCACAAAATAAAAATCAAAACAGCAGTATGCACACTGCTTCCAAACAATGTTTCTGAACCTGCTATTTTCTTACCTTTGCCTTTATCCCACTCTCGGACATAAGGCACACCGGGCTTTGTATCTCTTCTCTCCTGGATGACAACCTCTACCTTTCTACTTGCTGCAGTAACTCTTGGAGCTTCTGGTTCTTCAGCAACACCTTTCAACTCTGCAACAAAAAAAGATAATAGGTTTTGTTAGCAATGGGATAAAATCTATATGAATTTCACTGGAGGAACGGGAAGCAAGAGTTACTTGCATTTATGAAGCTCAGTGATCTAATTTCATGCTAATAATGAAATGCATCTGAGTGGGGAGGTGATTTATTTTTTTTAATTACTGCATATTAGTTCAGAAAAGATAATGGGTAAGCGAGATAATCGGGAAGCATATCTACCAAGAGACACTTCATTAGCTTTCTAGTTGTATCAAAAAGACTGCTGAAAATCTATTGCCTGATAATCCACAAAGGAATGTGCTCAGTGTTATACTGAAGCTAGAAAATGAGGTAAAAATAAGAACATTAGCATGTTATCTACATTGCATTTACTGGACAAAACAATTTGCATTCTTATTCTTCTGAACAACAGTAACAGTTAGCAGTGGCACATTAATGTTCTTCAGTTCCAGAACATTTCACAGTTAATCACTTGCACAGAATTCTGACACAGTGAAATATTAGCTACATTTTACAGTAGGAGATAGACAGCACAAATAGTGTCGTAAGAGAGACAGTACAGAGACAGGACTGGAACTCAACTTCATCACCCTAAATCCAAAAGTCAGCTGTATGTCCAGTTCACAGACTGCACTGAAACTGTAAGAGTGTATATTATACAATATCAAAATTATTCTTAAAAAACCAAAAAATGCAGTAAAATTTCAGCAGGTCTAGCCTTAACCTCCATAATTAACCTAAAAAACTCCTGCTGTCAGGTATGAATCAAAAAAAGCCTACATTCTACATATCCTATTCCCACCTGCATTATTAAGTTGTTTCTGGCATGACTTTATACCAACACAGTTATATGAACTATCACTATCTTAACAACCTAATTGTATATAGAGAGTACATAATACCAATATACTGAGTATGTCCCAACCTGAACCAGTTAGAGAATGTCTGTCCATGAATCAAGTACAAGATGAAATAGCAAATATTTAACTTAAAAAGACAGATCGTACCTCCGTTCTCCAATTTGTCTGCCTCTTCGTCTAATCCAGCTTCCCTTAACTTCTTAATCTTCCGTGCTCGAAGTTTAGACAGCCTCGCATCTAGAGCTGCCTTCCTTTTTTCTTTTAACTGTTCACGTTTAGTTCTCTGATCGAGTGTCTTAACAGCAAAGAAAAACATGGATTAATCTAAACAAAGAAAACCAGTCTTTATCAAGTATTGTGTTTCAACAGGGAAAAAGACACCCAATTTTTCTGGAGTCAGCTGCAGGCATTACCAAGTATAAGATTTCTATAACAAATCAAAGACAGTGACCACTGAAACCCCAATATCCTCTTGAAACTCGTACCTGCTCTCTTAGCATATCCAGTGTTGCCCGTTGTTTATTCCTAAGTTCTTTATCACGAGAAAAGGCAAAGTAACCAACACCAAGCTGTCTGGCCTCTGAAAAGAAGAAGAAAATCAATAAATTTACATTACACTCAGTTTATAATTGACAGTAACTACAAGCACTGTGTACCCTGCTTTCAGGCACAGAACCACTCCCAACAACAAAGAGTGCTTTTTAGATGGCTAAAAAGGGCTTATTTGAAATGATGCATAAAGTGAAGCTTCCTGAAGGAGGAGGTAATGAAATTTGAGAAATACATTTATTAAAAATAAAATCTGAGGAAAAATAAATCTGAATTTATGTACTGGTAATTTGAATAGTTATTACGTATGTGGCTTAACACATACCTACACGTTGCCTTATAGGCACAAGAAGTAACTTCCCCTTGCTTCCTCTAAAAGTAACCTCTTTGGTGATACAAAAGTAAGTGATATAAAGTATGGAATTATACCATTTTCTCGAATGTCCTCATAATGTATGGGTCCCATGGGTTTTCTGAGGGCTTCTTCTTCTTCCTTTTCCCACTGCTGCCTCTGAAGTTCTCTTCTCATGTCTTCAGATAACAGAGTATTCCCATCAAGACCTTGTCTAATTAAAACAAAACCCAAAAGGTTAAGGATTACAGAGCAGAACTTACGAGTTTTACGGTATTGAACAGTGAAAGTATGATTTGGTCTGATCCATTCTTGCACTTTTTACAAAATATAGATCATTGTAGGCACCATTTAGTCATGCAACATGGATGACTGTGGTACTTGGTGAAGACAGAAATACCTCTGAAAAACCTCTGAAACAAGGTACTAATAGAATATGTTATTAAGACTTAAACATAATCATAACCTTTCTCAGAAGCTTTATGAAATTGTTATTGAATCACACAATAGGAGATTAAATAATCACTTTCGTTGTCTACTGATCACCTATATAAACATTTCAAATTTAACATAAGAAAATGAAAAGTATTTGAAGTAACAAAAGGTAGCCATTTAACCTAGAAGTCCATGCCAAATATTAATATATGATATGTAACATATTTTTGCTTTTACTTTGCTAAAGCTGTTTTTGCTAATGGCCCGTCATCCATACCAATGCAGAGACTGCAATTTCAAAGTATTTATAGTCTCCATCTTATATTTAAAATATAGAGAATGCCCTGCTGAGTTGTTACTGTGAAAGAATTTTCACTTCAGCAACAGTAAGGGCTTAGTTGAGGTGCCTGTAGATTATTTTCTGAAAACAATTCCCAGTGTTGCCACGATAATTTAACAGAAGAGCTGTTAAACAGCTGTTTAACAGAAGAGCAGAAACAAACAAATGAAGACCTAACAAATTCCCTGTGAATGTCATGATGAATTTGGAATTGCTAAAAGACTGTAATCAGTTTCCAGGTTGAACAGAACCAGGAATCACTTCTCTGGCATTTTCTGGAAGGCATACAATAGATTTCCCTATAGGGACCAGATTTAAAAGATGCATCAAATATCTGAGAGATTATTAAGTTAGTTTATTAGAACCCTTCTCTGCAAGCTATGCTCTGTAAGGGATGTTTTAGATGTAGTCAGCGTTTACATCAAAAAGTGTCCCTGAATAGTTTATTAAAAATTTCATTTGGGCTTTTATTTGATATCCACGGTCTTCATTCTGCTGCCATTTAAAACCAATACACGAGCCATGTATTTCAAATGGTCAGCTGCCAAGGTGAAATAAAATAGAAGCCTCAAAATACTATCTGAATTTGTAATGGAAAATTTAATAATACCAGTCACGCATAATTGCTCTGCAGCTACTTTTATCTATTTTTTAAGGCACAATGTTGTAACCAGCAGAAGTTTGCCTAAAGTAGATCTGGAAAAAGCAGCAATTCTGGATGGAGAACGGGACAAAAAAGCATAGCCTCTCTTCCTCCTCATTGAAAATATGTATGTTAAATACTGCAAGGAACATGCACTTCCAGTGGAGAAATCACACCTTTTCCCTTGAAGTTCCTGGTCCATTTTAAGTAGACTTGGCAAATCCTTCTTCATACAGCGTCTAGATCGGCCCAAGAAATCAACATAATCAACCCTGTAATGAAAGGAAAGGAAATTTGGTACAGAACTTCTGTTGGCAGATTTACAGAACTCTTAACCTGAAGACAGAAGCAGTGACACTTTCCAAAGAGTATTCATCACCTCTCCATCTCTTCATGCACGACAGTTCCTTCTACCTTTCAGTTAACAGATGGACAGGTTAAGAAAATACATTCTGAAGAACACTGACTCACTCTCCCTGTGAGCTGGCTTTTTGCCTGGGCAATAAGATGGCGTAAAAAAAAATTTGAAAGTTAAAATGCCATGTAGTTTTCACAACAAAATAAAACCGAGCCTAGTACTCGTTTCCCATGGTGAAAATAATAACACAGCATTGACTTCTTGCACATATGAAATTGCTACAGTGTATTTCAATTATCAGTCTAAAGCTCATTTAGAACAGGCTGATAGCATTCATTCAACTGACATAACAAAGGCTGACTAAAGTGCAACCAAAATTTTCCTTTGAAGCACATGCTGTGCTTCATAGCCAGTTCTTTATAGTGCTGAACACTTAATTTACAGCTGTCAAAAAAGCTGTTAAGAGCTATACTTACTGTCCTGTAATGTTAAAAAGTTCTTTAGCATCAAGCTGCCTCAATTATCCCATTTCTAAAAATTAATATCGCATCTGAAAAAGTATGACTGGCAATTTAGTTCCCAAAACCCAAACTTTTAAAGATCTGTGCTTTCAGTAAGTTAAGTCTTTTACATAATTTCTAAGGATATCTACAGCTTAGCATATACTCAGTGCTCTTCGGGTTTTATTATAATGTAGCATCAGTATAAAGAAAAAGTCTGCATTCTCTGTAGTAAAGATATAACTATGGCTGCAAGACAATTAGCATTAATTAAGCTAGCACCCAAAAAGCCTCCTTAAGATATCACAGAATGGCTTAGGTTGGATGGGACCTTAGAGATTATCTAAATCCAACCTCCCTGCCAGGGGCAAGGACACCTCTCAGCTAGACTGGGTCGCTCAAGGCCTCATCCAACCTGGCCTTGAACACCTCCAGGGGAGCGGCATCCACATCTTCCCTGGGCAATCTATTCCACAGTCTCACCACCCTTGGACTGAAGAATTTCTTCCTAAGAGCCAGTCTAAACATGTTCTCCTTCAGTTTAAAACCATTTCCCCTTGCCCACTGGACACTCTTGTGTAGTGGCCTCACTGAGGTGGATAATATATTAATAATAATAATAATACATGTCACTGATGTGAGATGTGGGCAATAACGATTTCATTTTAAATTTCACTAATGATGGTAATGGGTGTATCTGCCTTTCCAACCTAGCAGTCTTCTGGCACTCTGCCCGAGTCATTTTCCCAGTTTATTCTGAAATGTTACATTCCAAATCCTATCTTGGCCTAATAAACTGGAGAAGGGGGGTGCTCTTTTTCATATTGGTTACTGCTGTTTTAAACTGATCATCAGAAGTAAAATCTGTGTTCCATAAGCATTTGAAACAAACAGGCAAGGAAAATGTTTAGTAAAACTGGTTTCATAATTATTTCTAATGTCTTGGATGAAAAACTAGCAGTTACTTGGAATGTCAAAATATCTTCAAAGACTACTTGCCGCGCCGCAGCTACATAGTGGGAGAAATGCTGGAATATCACGTTCTTTTTCCAACTGGAATTTCTCTCCTTTAAAAAGACGTCAAAACAACTGCTCATTTTGTAAGTCACATGCAGTTGGAGAAGGAAAGGTGGATACAACACAAACGCTAAGTTTTGCTGAAGTACATTTCAACTCAAAACATCAAAGAATAAAATGGTATCGACACAATGTCTCATTTAAAATACATCTCCCTGATTGATATTTCTCAAAATCCTGGATGTAGATTCTATTGCAGTGTTACCTACACAGAGAAGAAAGTAACCTGAAGGACTGTCTTTTAATGAGATGTGAAATGAATGAATGTTACCACCTCTTCTCAATGTGTAGCATTAAACCAAAAGGTGCCACTGCACATACTATGGAGAATAAAGTTATTTTCTTATGCAGTTTTCAAGAAACAGACTAGTCAGGACAGCTTAACCCAAGCAGTAGCACCAACCATTCTTCATCTGGGTCCGTTGGTGGGGGGATTTCCATTTCAGGTTGAGTTTCCTCATCGTCCGTATCTTTGTCTACGGCCTTTCTAGCAGCTTCGCTCTGATACAGTTCTTGTACTTCGTGCTGTTTGTCTATGATCTTCTGAGTGAAATCCACTAGGTACAAATCCTCAGTTTCTTCATCTAAGGCAGAAAATCAATTCTTAGAGAAGAGCCATGAAAGGAACGAAACTAAGCACAAAATCAATACAAAATAGCCACATTCAGCTTCTCAGCTGCCAGCAATGCCCTTGACCACGCTACTGCGGAATATTTAAATCTCATTCAATGCCAAACAAACTTGGAGCTATCAATTGGCTCCACAGTGATAAACCTTTTTTTCTGAATAGAAGTTTAAGGGTATTTTAAAGCAATTAATTGTGTACAATACAGAAAAGGCTGCAGTCTTTGCATTAAAAGATTCTCTGCTTGTTAACTATTTCAGAACTTACAGGGTTTGTTATGTAACAGTTCAAATACTTTATTGATGCTTACTATTCGGTGTGTTGGCAGTAGTTAAGCAGTCACTAGAGCACTTTTTAGAAAAGTAGAGAAAAATGTTGAGGTCAGGTGGACAAAGATGGAAACTGCTAAAGAACACATTAAAGATTAATTGCAAGAAGATTTGGATTCTATTTTAATAATTACTTCTTGCACGGGATTGAGTGAGAGAAGAAAGGGACAGATTGGAATTCTCTAACCCTGTTAGCTGCATGAATGGCATTTGCATATGGACCAGCCAGACTCCCCTCCTGCTCCTTCATAAAGGTCCAGAAATTAGAATGCACGGCAGAACATCAGCAACGCAATCCAAAGATTACATAATGGAGAATAAATTAATTTTGTTTTTCTAAGATTCTGTATTGAAAAAACAGAATATATGCCACCCATTTAATGAATGAGTAAAACAAGCCAACAGTGCTTTACTAGGACAGGACGTCCTTCACAAAGTAATTTTATTTTCTTTGGTACCTATATTTTTCACCATTTCAAACCAGAATAACCCATGTCAATCATGTTGTATAATAACTCCAGGAGAAAATCTCCCTGAAGACACGCAGTGAATTCACAGTGTGCTGTAAATCACCAGACTGTCAGAAATACCAACTATTAGGGCAAACTTTACAAACAATCTTTTTTGTACACACACACACATGCGCGCGTGCGCACGCATGCACACACACACATATATATTCCCGCTCGGTCCCCATGTGTTGCCTGGTCTAGTCGAGAGGTGGCGTCCCTGCCCACAACAGGGAGGCTGGACTAGATGATCTCTGAGGTCCCTTCCAGCCTAGGCCATTCTATGATTCTATGATATAAAAAATACTCATTTAGATTAGTTTTGTTCACCTGGAAAGTCGCCTTTTGTCATTTTCTCATATAGCTTTGCTTTCTCTTCAAGTTTCTTCCTGAAAAGAAGAGAAAAATTAAGATTGCAATCCCACCAGTTCCAAACACAGTTCAATATGACCAATTTAGCCTTAAATAGATGGAACAGAAAAGTAGCAGGAACTCTTGAAATGGTTACTAGAATCTGACTTAGGCCTAGTTTTTGTTTTGAACCTTAACCGACATTTCCGAGGATATGTAGAAATCCACTTCCAGAGTTCATACTGAAAATAATTTTAGTGAAGTTACAGAATTAATCTTAAGCGTAATTTGTCACGTAGGCAGGAACATGACACAACAAGTATTCCACCTCTGTCGAACTGCTTTGCTCTATCAGATTAATACTGGAAGGTAGGCCACTACTTGCAAGTATGAGGTAATGAAGTACTGTTTTACATAGAAAAAGAAAGAAAAAAAAGAAGGAGATAACATGAAGTTACAGTTAAGATAAAACTCTACCTAATTTCTGGAATAGTAAACGACAATTTTGAAGAGCAAGGAACTGCAGACAACGAAACCAGCAAAAGGCTTGCAATTTGTATATTCAACACGTATCTTACCATACAACTAACCCACTCAGAACATGAGGCAAATCTTGCAAAAAAAGAGAGCCATTTTCTGTCAACTTCAAGAAACACTTTGCTGTAAAATTCTGATGTATTACTGCTCTGACTTTGAATTCTAAGTATGACTGTCCTGGTTTGAATGCACCAGGACAAAAGGTCTCTGGGGCTCCTGGCACAGATGTCGGTCACAGCAGGGGAGAGGAGGCAGCTCTGCCCATGGGAAGGAGACGATGGTGAAGGTGACCCAAATCACAGAATGGACCAATCACAGCATTTCTTCCCATGGTGCTCAGTATAAAAAGGCCCCAAGAAGAGTCTTTGGCCCCTTAGTGCCTGCTGGGCTGGAAAGACTGCGATTAGCTGTTTGTCATCTTTCCCTGTGCTGCTGGTGTTCCTGCCCAGTTTTCATGCTGCAGAGGAGCACCATTCCTTGGGACAGGTTGTCTTGTCTCTGCCTACCTGGGCGAGAGTGGCACAGCTCCTTTTCTGGGGTTGTTTGTGGGGTTTTTTTGGGTTGTCACTGGGAACTCTGGGTTTGGGCACTCCCATCTGCTGCCAAGTCCAGTCTGGGACCTCTATGCTCAGGACCACTTGTCATCTGGAAGGTGTAGGTTCCATGTAAACATATTCTTTTGTATCTTTGAATATATTTGTATACTTGTATAATATCTATACATAGTTTAACATCTTCACTGCTACTATTAGTATTATTTTTCTTTCATTAAACTGGTTCAAGTTTCTTTTCAACCTCAAAGTCTCTCTCCCTGGTTCCCCTGTTATCCTCCCCTGGGAGGGTGGTGGTGGGTCACAGAGAGTGTCTGTCAGAGTTTAGTGGCTGGCTCAGCCTTATACTTTGATGATGACTTTCAAAAATTGGTAACCTGACATGTTTAGACAGCAATGACAATGTGAGCGTTGGATATCTTGAGAGTCTGAGACTGCTGGGATGCAGTCTGTACACTGCTGGTAAAGAGTATAGAATTGATGTGGACCTTAGCAGTAGGTCTAATGAGAACTGCTGGTTCAAAAGCTGCATAATTTTCTTTATGTGCTTTTCTAAACCCTAATGACCAAGTTCTGCAAAGCATTTCTTACAGAGTGTAAGAGTTACCTTGATATATCTAATACATGCTCCTCTTCTGCTTTCTGCTCAACATCCTTCTCAGCTCGTTTTGCAACTCCTGCATTTTTTTTGTTCCAGATACTTGGTTTCTGTGGAGTACAATTTTATAATATACATAAAGAAAAAAAAATTTAACTCTCTATTGCAAACTTTACAAATCAATCATAAGAGGCTTTGTAAATAATATCTTAAATGTGTTTGACTTGAGACTATACCTATTGTGCTGTAGGATGCAGTAGGGATGTCCTAAAATTACACAGATTGCAGTATAATGTAAGAGTTAAATGCAGGCTGAGAAAAACAAAACAAAAAGGCACTCAAAAATATTCTACTCCTAGACAGCTACAGGATGGTGTACGTATGCATTGCTATACATTGTGATACAGAGGTAGCTGAGTGTCTCATCCTCCCTTCTTCAGAGAAGCATATAAAATCTTGGAGAGAAAAGAAACATCTTTTCCTACAGTTACAAAAGCAGCAGCTCCACGGGAAAATAAGATTAAATGGTGATTTAAATTGAGATGAGCATGATGTAAGTTTTCTGCTGTGCACAAGATTCTCACCTGGAAATGAAACTTAAATAATATCCTCATCATGTAGGTTGCAATTTGAATGGTAATATTTTTTCCATTTAAATAAACAAATACTTAGAGCTATATTTCTACCTTATTTGAAGTCTGAGGCTTTGCAAAGATGCCAGCATCTTTCAATAGCTTTTCTTTCTTGAATTCTTCTTGCTTTCGGAAGAGTTCTGCTTTGAGATCTACCAACTGCATCAACATCAAAACAAATAACCAAGACATGACATGCACATATATCAGTTACTGTAATGAAGAAATAGCTGTATTTCTAGCAAAACAATCTGGCATTTATGGTTATACAAGCATTTTTATGTGAAACTTTGAAACACAGATCCAATCACAAAGATCACTCTTAAGTTTACAATATACAAAAAGAAATGCAAACTATGACTAATGATTTCAAAAACCCTGAAGACAGAGATTCTTTGATACATAATGGGAATAGGAGAGACACAATTCCATGGTTTCTACCAGCCTCCCAATAGCAAATAGAGAAAAACTAATGCAATAACACTACTGAATTTTAAAGGGAACTTCACTAAATAATGAATAAAATCCTGTCTCAGAAAAGAACTGATAAAAGCTTGCTTTCTTTATATATATATATATATATATATATTCCCACTGTTTTACATAGTTATACAAGGATTATCAAGTTTTAGATTTTATTTTTTTAGTATATATGTAAGTAGTTTTGCAACCTATGACCAACACCCATCTCATCTTTTATTAGGAAAGATCACCAACAGGGGCATTATCTTGAAATTACATAAAAAAACTAGTTTGGAAGAGGATGTTATTGTCAGTTTCCCTGAAGTCCTACACAACGCAGATTTCACAGATCTACATTAAATCAGGCAAGTGAAAGACCTGGGTATTAACATTTGTCCCGAACACTAATGTGTTTGCTTTTCAACTCTCTGTAATGACGATGCAGAGTGTGGTAAATTAACCCTTTTCCTTCTACGGCTTAGAACTGATAATCTAAAAATTAACTGTTAAGTGTTTCATATGCAACAAGCCACAGGTTACACTGACTGTCTATTTGGAAAAATTAAGTGCTTGGCAGCAAAGTCCTGTTAACAGACTCCTGGAGGGTAGGGAGGAGCAGCACCTTGTCATCCTTGGGAGTTGAGGTTAATTAACTGAAACATGGACCTCCTTTTGCTTAGGAAGAAAGAAAAAAAAAGGCAGGAAATACACTGACATTTCCTTCTCATGCCCTAATTTTATCATTATGGCGGTCACGGGAGCAAATTCAGCCCTGGCACACTCGGGTTAAGAGCTCTGTCTGGCTCTTTGCGTTTGCTTTAACACCCGCGCATTCCAGCGGGCCGGGCTGACGGCGGGGGGGGCACGACTGCCCCGGCCGGGGTAACGAGTTCCCTGGGAGCGGCGAGCGGCCCGCACCAGCGCCCCAGGCC